GTTTTATTTATACCTTATTAAAATTTCTTTGGAGAAAGACAAAAATCTCATCATTTCTGTATGACACAGAGAGTAATCATCAGAACGTTACAGATCCCACGGGTCATTTCTCCTGACCTGGAGAATAAAGGTTATGACTTTAGCCATGTACACGTTACAAAATTTAACGTTGCACCTATCCTTTTGGTCTGTTCTTATAGTTCTTGGCACAACAGGGCATGAGAGCATGACTCTTGGACTCCTAGATGCTAAATTAAAGTAACTTAAATTTATTGAAGTAATTGAATTTTCAATTAAAAAACATCTAAACATCAAATTTCTATGAATTGTGTGATTTTGGCCTTATTATGAACTTTTACTGGGTTAGTAAGTAATTAACCTAGTAATAAATCATGTAAAACAGATAACTTAGTGTTCTGTTATTGGCACACTTGTGGAATAAACTATTTGAGAGAGCTTCTAAAGTTATCCCAACATATTTTTCCTATTGATTTAAGGCGGACAGTTTCCCATAATTATTTAAGTTCTAACAGGAACACCATAATGCAAAACATTTTCTAACACAGTGTTCTCAGTTGTTGAAGAGGATGTCATAAAGCCACAGAGCAGAGATGCAGAGGAGAAAACCGTGGTCCAAGAGGTTAATCAAAGCCGCCTCTATGTGGCTCTTTTTTATACAAGGGACAACTGATAGAACTACATAGGATATTCTACAAGCACTATCTCTGTGCCTGTGCCTGGTGAGTTAAGACCCTATTAGTGGCAACACATTCTGAATTAATAGTTACAGAATTCTGCTTCAAATACCAAAATAGTCAAAGAAAGAACAGTACAACCCAAAGTAATGCAAGCTTTTAATAAGTTTCCTATACACCCACAGAACGCCAGGCTACCAAACGTACATACAATCCCACAGTGTTTGCAGGGAAAATTCCTCACAAAGTCAAAGTTAAATTTCCTCAGGAAAAGATATGTCATCATAACCCCGCTTTACCACTTATGTCAAACACCTACTCTATACAAATATCAAAATGAAAATAAATAAACCACACAGGAGCTCTTTGGGAATAAGAAAGGGCTTTTCAGTTCAAAAAAGAAAAGAAAAAACACTCTTAAAAATACGTGGTCTTCTATTTGTCTTCACCTCAGTATATGAACACATCCTCACAGGCCCTATATCACTTCTGAAAAGACCTGTGTGGCAATTACAGTTTCTGTACCATACAAAATTAAACATTTCCACTTCTACCTTTGTTAAAACTTGAAACATTGAAAATGTTTCACCTTCTGTAGTGTAGAAAACTTAAAAATGCTTGGTCAGAATGGCAGCAAGCTCTAAACCAGCCCGAGATCCCAGGTGCCAAGGGAGCCTGCCAAGGCCTACCTATGTGCTTAGGTGACAGGAAAGCACATCAGTTCTTAATAGACTCGACGCATTCCTGTAGAACATTTCAATTCTATTTAATTAGGGTTCTGCATCCAAAAAAAGCCTTTCAGTGGAAAAGTTTTAATTCACACCAGTCAAAATTAGTATCATCATCATCATTAATATTCTTTAGGAAATTAAGTATTTTAATATATCCCATCATGATAGAGCTGCAGATTGGCCCTGAGCCTTTTACTTCATTTCTTCAACAGTAAAACCTCTTTCCATTTCCAAAACTATTTTCAGATACTTTGCATTCCTTGCTAAGACGCCATTCCCAAGTGCTCTACACACAGGAACACAGATCCAAGTTAAGAACTTGTATTCAGAACCAGAAGCTGGATTTTCCATAGCTGTACTACTAGAGTAATAATATGGATAGCTGAAGAGCCAGGATAAGAAAGTAAAAGTAATCCTTGTTTTCCGATTCTATCTAGGTACTTCTCCAAAACACAACATTCACTGTACATCTTATAAAAAGTAAAATAGATCAGGTAAAATTGACTTTAAGAAGGAGCACTCTGTATCACCAAGTTTACACTGCAAAACAAGCAGGCTTGAATGCCCAGTACCCTGCAAGCTTCCCTGTGCACACTGTCCAAGCAACTCCTCGCCTGAAGTTAATTTATAAATATATTCTCACAAAGAGCTAGTGACTTGGCAACGTGTGAGACAGTTAATAACAAAAAGCACTCAGTAAACAAATGTTCCATTTGAGTTGCTTCTTTTGTTCTGGTAACAAACAATGCAAACAAGTTTGCATTCAAATTCTGCTTCATCCACACCCCTGTATAATTCTCCCTCCTTTAATGCAGAGGGAAGTAAGGAAGATTTACTTATCACTCCTCTATCTTAGAGGAATACAGGTTACATTTGAAGAATCTTATTGTACTGCAGATAGCTTATGGTTGCAGTTAGTATTGTTTGTGTGCAAAGGACAGATGTTTGCTCCCTGTTCCCCACTGAAGGAGGTTACAGGCAGCTGTATATTCTGAGGTGAATGTGTACAAAGCCCATAAGCAAGGTGCTGAAGAGGAGAAGCCGCTTACAATAAGAATATGGGTTTAATGACCTGCAAAAACACTTGAACAAACACAGGCCCTCCAAGGTTCTCCCTAACCAAAACCCACAAGTTCAATTTTTATGAATCAAGCTGTCAGTCATGTAAAATGAGTTCAGCTATTAATGAAAAAACAATAAATGTACAATAATGAGGAAATGACCTAATGGACCAAGGCAGATGGACTTAATTTGTTATTAATTAACTGCCTTAAGGAGAAGCTGTAGAGGGAGTGGCCAAACACTGGGATAACCATTAACAGAATACTTTCCTCTCGATAAATGAGATTTTCATTTTTGGTATGATCCAGGAAGTATTAAAAAGGAAAAAAGGAAAAGAAAGAGAAAGATACTGTTCTCTGCATGCTGACGAGACCACTGGTTCATGTCACTGCTGATAAATTAAATTAAAGCCCACATACAGAAGCATTTAATCAGGAAGAACAAGCAAACAAGTGAAACACTATGGGCCTTGTTTTGCCCTTGTCCGGGCCTTTATTCTAAAAATGTTCTTAGCAACTTTTTTATAATTATATTAATTAACACATTCTATGGAGAAACATAACCCTGAATAGCAATTACAGCTTCTCAGAGGGAACAAGAAACGTTACTAAATAAAGAATATCACTATGTAGAGTTCCATGCCTAGGAGGAGCTACATCATCTACAATTCCTCTGTGATTAAAAGCCTCCTGTAGTGTAAATTTTTAATTTCTAACCACATTTAAACATGCAACAATGGCAAAGATGCAGCAACAGTATGCTCACCTACTTTTCCTCTTCATCTATTGAAGTCTTCTGTTTAAACAAGTTTATAAAATTGACATGAAGTTATTTTCACTCCTGTTCCCCTGCTAGCAAAGGAAATCTACCAATGGCCAGACCACTTATCATACTGACCTGCATGTCCTGCCACTGTCTAATACAGAAGCCCAGAGTCCTCTTCTCTCCAGCCCACTTGTCATTTTCAACAAATTTCCTCTACAATCCTTCCCTCTCCATACCTTGGCCATCTGGGATTACTTCTTTCTTCCAGCTCATTTCTAACTTCCTCACCTCTCACCCCTTGCTCTCTGAAAAGAGATATTTCCTGGAAAGGATTTTGTTACATTCCTGAAGTCAAGCAGAATACTGTCCAACTTCTTGCCTTGATGTAGTAAGGGATGAAGTAAAGACTGGGATATTTGTGTACTGCTTGGGCACCAGTGAGCAAATTCGGCACAGAAAACTTTCCAAATTAATGCCCATCTACTAAGTTCATTTCCCATTTCCTTCAAAAAACAGAAAGTGTTTTTCAAAAGAGCAATTTGTACCAGAGACTATTCTCAGAGGCTCAAACTAGCCCTTTCATGTTTTCCATTTGAGACAAACACACTAAAACTTTCCTAACATTAGAGCTCTGCAACCAATTGCTCTAGTCCCAATCAATGGACTTTATTCATAAATAAAGCAGACGTAATAACTGCTACACTGAGAGACAAAAAAAGCACTCCTCTGATTCGTTTAGGTCATGTTTTTCTTATCCTGATCATATGTTCTATTGCTACATCTCCACTGTGCAGGCTTCCACTAAACAAAACAGGATTTCCAAGTGGCAGAAGAATCAGATGAGCACCCACCCAGAAAAATACGGCCTGTTGTGTAAACATATTGAGACCAGTCTTGAAGATCCTGCTTCTAAAATCCAAATACAAGCTTCTTCAAGTTTGCAACATTAAGTTAGATTAGTAGTCCATATAAGACACAAATATTAGGAAGAGATACTTTAGGAAATACTATAATGACACTGCCAGAAAATGAAACTTTTAGCAGAATAAAAATTGCTTGTAGGGAGAAACAGCCAAACCTCACCAGCCTCCCACATAGAATGGGAGAATGCCTGAGAGCACAGAGCTACACCCAGCCAAACATTCTGAATGAAGTAATAACAGAGTAAGTTTTATTTAAAAATTAACACAGAACACATTTGCTCTCCAATAAACTAGAAAGACAAAGTCAAAGCATGTAAAGCTTGAATGCTGGTAAAAGTAGCATCTGTTACAGAACACACACAACACCATGGAAAGATTCTGGAGTGATCTAGGCTACTAGGTGCTGGCTCTAAATGGTATTTAGAGCAGGACTAGCACTCCCAAAAGGTTAGTCTTATCTTATGGGATTGAGAAGTAGGGAGTCTTCATAACATGGCCTACCCCAACTCCATTTTTCCATTATTTACATGGAAAAATATTAAACTTGTCTGAGACTCAACTTCTCCTTTTTATCAAATTAGAATTTTACATATTGGAAGATTTAGTGACTGCTTAAAAGCCTTGAAGTTATGGTACCAGGTAGCTATAATATTAAGCATCTACTTTCAGTATTCCCTAAGACACTAAAATAAGGTTAAAAAAAAAATAATCATTCACTAACTAGAGACAGTGTTCAGCTTTATTTCTTGACTACGTGAACATTTACAATACTAGGGAAAACCAATAGCTGCCCAACAAATTAAACATAGGAAAACGAGACTTACGTTTGTGTTGCAGAGTTTATATTGCTTGTAGGTGCCAATGCACACAATTGCTGCAGCCCTCTGAGGCTGGGGCTGACCCTGGACTGCCTGGTGCGATGCAGACCCATGATGGTTTGAGTCACTGCTGTGAAACAGGCTTTGAGATACAGGAAATGAAGATGACTGATAAACTGAGGGTCCTAGCACTTGATGTCCAGCCTGAGGCCCACTTTCTTCTTGATAAAGATTCCCATGTTGAAGTGAAGGACTAGCTCCCTGGCTGTAAGTGTTCATGAGACTTGGACTCTGATGAAATACGTGGTTCCTTGATGACTGTCGCTGTCTCCGAGGTTTCTGAGGCTGCTGACCAGTGTCAGTTTGTAAAGGTAAAATGTAGGGCACTTTTCCATATCCATACTTTCCTGGACCAATAGGATTTCTATTTCTGCTTCTAAAATCAGAGAAAGGGAGAGAAAACAGATACTGAATTCATAAGTGAAGGAGCAGTTACTTACATGAATTGTAGTTTCTCAGAGTTATTCACTGCAAGGCAACAAGTAACCAGAAATTTCAAGCTATTTTACAGAAAATATGTAGAAGCTGTAGGCTCGCTTGGTGTGCTGGAAATCTATGAAGAAGGCTACTGACTGAACTAAATCCTGGGCCCCCTTTGGCTGAAATTCACATGGGAAGTCACTTAGTGACAACTAGCAAAGGCAAATCGCCTGGTATGGTATAAAGTAGCAGTTTGGAGTGAGGTGGTTGTTGTTCTTTTAACCCCTAGGACTCTCCTTTAAAAATGGAAATTCAGAAAATCAAAGCTTTACATTCCTAAAATTCATAACCATGTTTCTGAGGAGCTTAAGATACATAACAGCAATAAAACGCTACTGTGGATTTGAGTAATGACAGAAGAAAATCTGAATACAGTATGGCGAAGATTGTTAAACATTTTGTATCCATTCATAAAGCCTCCTGTGATTCTGCTTCATCTGTTATTTAAGAAATAACAAGAAATATTTAGGGAAAAAGTATAAGGAACATCAAAATATTACTGAGAGACTTCTGGAAAAGATGACAAATGCAGGAAAACATTCTTATTATGGTACACGGTTTATTTTCTCTTCTTTGGCCAGTAGATTTACTCTTTTCTTTCTTTAAATATACAAAGTGTAGATTCGCAATACATTTAGTTAATAAGTCATGACCTGCCCAATTTGTCGTCAGGATAAAAGCCCACCTTTCATCGTACGTTACCAGAACAGTACACAAGAGCCTGACAGCCCCTAGCATTAATCACAGAAGTTTCAGGTCTGCTCTCTTGTGCACAGATCAATTCTTACTGAAGAACCTGTGTTTTGAGCTGTATTAAACCTGTATCAGCACCCACAAACAGCTGGCACTCTCTGGAGGGTAGTTTTGTCCTCTGCACACTCACAGCAACACAATAGACTCAGCTCCAAGCTACAAGTGAAAAATCACAAATTGAATAATACCACATTTCAGTCATACTATTTAAGAGTATCCTGTATTTTATCTGCAAGCAATAGGCTAATTTGCATTTGCTTTTCTTGTCATCCTGTATAGCTCAATAATGCATCAGGCCTTGATTTCTACTGCTGCAGTTTGAAGAATAAGTTGGCAAAAAAGTTTTCTTTCAGTTCAGAGCAATGTGTGAATACAGCTGTTCTGAGAACCTTTGCAGCTCAGGAAGGCAGACACTGTTAAAAGAAGTCATTTTCTTTCTGTCCAAAAACTTAATTTATATTTTTTAATATCTATAAAATACACTTGAATTGCAGTGAAAGCCAGAGGTTATAAATTGACATATTTATTTTCTAGAAACTGAAGTGTCACAAAAGTCAGACAGCCATCAGATCAGAGACTTTTCTTTGGGTTTGTTTTTTCTTGTGATTGTTTTCTTCCTAAGTCTTATATTCTCCCAAGACTCTTGTTACATGGGAACCTTGGAAGTCATTTACTTAACGTTCTAGCTTTATGGCCACGTGGGACTTTTAATCAATCTTCCTGGCTCACGGATGTGTGAACAAGAGTGTGGATTTACCCTGGCAGATAAGCAACCAGCACTCTTGAGCTGCTTATACCCATTAATCTGCTCTGTGACTGTGACGGTCACTGCTGAGGTAGGCTTTTGGTAGTTACCACAGAGAAAAGTAGTACAATGGGGTTTAGCATTACAGAAGGAAAAAAGCTTCCTGTAAGTGGACAGGAGAGGAATGAAAGACAAATTATGAATAGGAATTACTTCAAATGTTGAGACTAAACCCAACTTGATTTCAATGAGCACAGTTTGTGTTGTGCAGGGGGTTATGGGTTTTTTCAGTTAGTTGGTTGGCTTGGCGTTTTTTGTTTTGGTTTGGGTTTTTTGTTTTGGGTTTTTTTTTAATGGGCAAATAAATTGATTCCCTCTATGTTGCTGCCATTTTTAATTTTTAGCATAACCCTTAATTTCTGTGCAAGACCAAAACTAACAAACAAAAAAATCTTTCTTGAGATTTCTAGTCATATTTGATTCATCTTGCAAAACAGATACAACTCCTGATTTTCACTTGCTCCAGTCTCTACTGATTCTTACTGACAGTGGTTTCCTCCTCAACCTGACCACACCAAATTTGAAGGCTCTGAGATACAAACCTTGGCAACAACTCCTGGCACTGAGAAACTTACTGCTTCATTGGAGGGAGCACAGATTGCAAGTGGTGGTGGTGACTGCAGGAGTGGACAGAGGGTGGCAGGTCTACTGAAATTAGCTTTTGGAATTCTCATCTACAGTCAGGTTTCGTGCATTTTCATCAGCAGGAGGAAAAAGCTGCTAATAACTGAGCAATAAACCATGTGCAGACCAGTAGAATGCCTCTGCCCCAGCTTTCTGACTGCAAAATTCTTCCAGAGAGGAGCACCTAGATGCATCATCCCCACCTGGAAAAACTGCTGCCTGTCAAACTAGGAAAGGTCACACAAGAAGTCAAAAATTAGATTGATATTTGGCTGTTAATCTCCAATACAGGGTTGTGAATCAGAACTGAAAATAATGGAAGGACATGCAAGAAATGGTGGCATGAACTAGGGCTCTTCTGCCTGGAAAAAGTAATTAAGTGGTCTTAAACACAGAATGACTAGTATCTGAAAGGACTCATGGTTGAAGGCAGCAAGTGACCAAAAGCTGCTGTAACCTCATGAGATTATTTGCAAAAATTAGAAAAACTTGATTTTGAGGGATGTCATTTTTTTGTAAACTGGTTGATCGCTGCAACAAACACAGAGCAGTGCCCAAGAAGTGAAAGAATAACAACTTTTTTACTGATAGTCCTGTCTCAGCTTGGCTTCTTTTTCTACACTGTAACCTGGAAATGTTGCTGGAGTCCCCACTGATGAAGAAATGAGGTACGATTTCTGGCAGCCTAAGTTTCCAGCACCCTTATAATGACATGCCTGTGATTGCATCAAGGCTCATCAAAGGTCTCCTCTTTTGCCTCTTTCTTTCTTCGGGCATAACTCTCAAACACACACACCTCCGTGACTGTTCAGACAAATCCGTTTAGCACTTTGATAACAACAATGATGGGTCCCTTTAAACTTAAGCCAACCCAAGTACATTTTTGAGTTCAAAAATGCATTTGCCCAGACAAGTATGAAAATAAGGTTTTTTGCTATTAGTGTAAGGTTTGTAGCAAACATGTAAAAATAACTATTTTTAACTATTATTCTTACTGGTCTAGCAATTTCTCTCATGCTGAGGGTAAGTCAGCTGAGAATAGCAAGAACTGGCCCTTCACAGCACCTTCTGCTTTCTAAGCATACATGTGCCTCGGATGGCAAACAAATGCATTATCACTACCTCATAGAGTTTATGCCAAGAACAATGCTTTGAACCTCAAGTGTTCTTGAGGCTCACTAAGAATTAAGTACTTTCAGAGCTGGTAGGCTAGTTATTTATATTGAACAGAAATCCTCTTTGAACCAAGGATATGCAGCATCTTTAAAATACACAAGTTAAGATTAGAGATTTCCTGGGCCTCCACCTGTTCTCTTAAGTGCTCTTTACTAAGCCACTTCCTTTCTCCTTACATATTCTCTAAACGGAGGTTCCCTGGCTCACTTCCAGCTGAAGCATAACTCACTTTCTTTCTCTTCTGATGTCAGACAGAATGAAGAATGTATTTTACATGAGCTTTGCAGCATTTCATTCAACTTATCTCCTACCATCAAAATGCTGCTTCTCTTTCAAACAAAAAACTGCGAAGTTGAACATTTGCAAAACCTCTCATTTATGACACCACAGAAGACTTGCTTTCCTACTGTTGGAATGTTTTCTTAGAATGAATCCAGAGAAACTACTAATTTCCTTCATTTTCAATTCACAACCTTTCACACTGTTTCTCAAGGAGTAATGTAATAATCTGGGAAAGTAACAGCCTTCAGCCACTAGTTCCCCGGGGATGAGGAGGAAAAACTGCACAAGAATTGCAGGCTTCATGATACTACTTTCAAAATTTTCTCTTGTCTATTGGCAGAAATTATTCCATAAGCAGAGGAAGACTCTGTTCTTCCCTGTATGCCCAGCTACAGCCACCACTGTAATGAAAGACAACAGAACGTCATCACAGAGCATGTGGATAGATGTGAAACCAACACTTTGTACTCACTCTTAGTTTTGTGAGAGTCTGAGTTCAAAGCTTTTTTCAAAATCTTCAGAGGCTTATCTGAGGAATCCTGTCCTGGAATAAACAGGTAAGTCCTCTAATACGCTAAGGAAACTCAGCTCATCAGTGAGTCCGGTCCAACCACACATATAGCCTGATGCTGCTCTGAGTACCCAGGCCCCCAGCATTCTTCAGGTTCTTGTCTAATCTTCTCACTTGGGAATTAAGCAGTTACCTATAATCTAAAGTTTGGAGTGTTGCTGGCTGAATTCTTGTCCTATCAACACAGCCAGCACTTACTCAAGCTGACCCTAACAGTGATCTATCAGC